GGAGGGGGGGGTTTGGGAGAGAGAGAGCTCACCGAAGAAGCCTTTGCATAAGGTAGTATGTACTGAAAAACATCAGCACACTGTTCCTTTGTCTGGTAATCACCAGGGCTAGTATTTTTGTGCACAACTAAATCATCTTCGTAGGATGAATCAGATCTTATATTTAGACCATATAAGCAGAAGAAACACTGATCCAATGCATAATCAATTTTCAACTCAAGTTCCTCCCTTTCATCTTCAAGGAGCTCAGCTCCGGCTTTGTTCAATTGAACATTTTCTTTTTCACATCCGTTGAACTTGCCACCAGACCCATCTACACCTTGCTTTCCACCTTCCAATCCCACACTGTCTTTATCTAGGGTATTATCAAATGAAGTGCTTTTGGAAGGTGTCCTTTCAGAAGCATCCTTTCCTGCAGCACTGGTCTCATCTATTCCTGTGTGAACCATTTCCAAATCAGTATCTGATTTGGCATGACTGTTTAGGCAAAGTTGCTCTTTGTATTGAGTTGTTTCCTTGTTTAATGAGTTAGAGTTAGATTTAAACTTCATATCCAAGGCCAATAGATGTTTAATTGCAAACTTAAGAAATGTTCCTTCCTCCCCTTCACCACCCAGACCAGCACAGCAGAGCCCATACTCAGCCAGCAAATCATGCATTGTGACAATTAAGTCAACCTACGACACAAAGTCGGGAAAATTAGAAAAAGGGAAGAAAGAGTGAAACATATATATATACATATATATCATCATCATCATCATGATGAAAGGATTCATTGTATGAACAATTTGAGGAGACAAGACTCACTTGAGTTTTAACAGTTATCATGATGTTGAGGTGTTGGAGCTTGCAAAATGCAATGGAAGCTTCAATAAAGCAACTTCTTTCAATTTGATCAGTAATTACTAGATCAGAAGACTTCTTAGAGAGGAATATACTTGCAACGTTGCACATGACTGACAAGAGCAAGCATTGCATATCACCTATGCTGCTCATTGGAATAGTGTCCTGCAAGCATAAGATATAATTATGTAGTGCATAAAACATGAACCTACACAGACTGATCCATAAGATTATTCACTTGTGAAAACATAATTCTATGTTTGAATGGAACGAATGTACTGAAATTTTACAGTTTGAGGTAAGCATGACCAAATATCACAGCTATTTATATATAAATACTGATAGACTTACAGAAGCCCCAGATTGATCAATAAAGTTCTTCACTTGGGACACACATTGAGAAATAGCCTTCACTTCCTCTGCAACCAAGAAATTCCAGCAATGCTTGCTTGAACTTTCTTTTGTATCTACATCAGAAGCATAGCGAGGGTTTGACCCAGATTTCAATAGGAAGGATTTACAGGAAGCAAGGCATTCATCGATTCCTGCTGCTGCCATAAGAATTTGCAGTTTCCGCCGATGGCAACTCAAATAAACATCAACATCCATAGGTTTTGTCTTCTCACATGCTTTGATTAAAATATCTAGTGCTGATAGTTCAACAGAAGTAATTCCTTCTCCTCCTTTATCAGCTAAGCGCAAGGGTAATGCATCAGGGGGAACATTTTTTGTTGCAAATAGAAGTGGAACAAGCAAGGACATGCACTCCATATACATTTCTTTCTCAATCATCTCACCTAAAGTCTTCTCCATCAAGAAATCAACCTTTAAAATGTTGATTTCATGGAGAATTCTATGAATGGTTAACTCTTTAACAACCTTGCAATAAGGGAGGTGGATCACACATTGGGAATCAGTCGTATTTTCCTTCTTCGCCAAAAGAGACAAGGAAATACAGAATTCTTGGTGGGCTTTTTCCTTGTTGCCATCCAAAATACATAACCGTCCGCTTAACCAGAAAAACCGAACCCAGAAGGAACTGTTACTTGTTAAAGACAAACCATCTAATGGTACATCCGGGCAAACAGAAGTATTCGCTGATATTCCACTAGTACCAAAGAATCTCTTAAGCCCAGAGATACTTTCATCTTCCACAGCTACAGATTCAATAATTTTACAAAGATGATAAGATGCCTCAGACATGAACTCAGATAGCCTGGAAACATCGGAAGACAATGACCCAAGGTCATAATAAAGCTCAGCAAGAAAAAGGCAACACTCACGGCTCCTATCCTTCCCCCAATTCCTTGTCATCTTTTCCAACTCCAGGATCTTAATAAATGCATCCTGATACAAAAGACCTCTACTTGCAGCCTCCTCTAAAAGCAAATGTGCCATATGGAAAGCACCATAATTATTTGAAGTTTTTTCGACAAATCTGGAAACTTCGCCATATTCAGTATCCCACGGATTAGTTTGATCAGGACATGAAACAACACAATTACCAGAATGACCAGAATCTTTGATTCCTGATCCACCAGCAATAAAAGGTTCTAGATATTGAACTACAACCTTGGCCTGATCCTTACCATTACCAAAGTCAAGATCTTCTTTCCCCGGTTTACGACTTCTAAGCCTTTCAAGACGAGTACTCCGCCTCTCTTGTGGTTGTAATTCTAGAAGATTTGTGGCTTTTTCTTTAACAGTACCTATTTTTTCAGAGTTACAATCACCAAATACAGCATTTCCACCAATTGGGGATAAGTTAAACCCTTTCCTTTCCTCAAATCCTACGGTACTTTCTGAACTAGAAGGTAAGTGTAAAATCAATCTTACATCCCCAGATCGGTGTGATTTTGCAGCCCCCATCTCAGATTGACTCCCATTCAATGGAAGTAAGATATCCATGAGTGCATCAACAAGAGCAGCCCAAGAAGCTTCTGCCAGGTTCAGATCTATGCTCTGCTTCAGCTTCTTGGATGCAACGCCCTCCTCTATATTTTCATCACTTGCTTTTCTCTTGTCAACAAATTTTAGACGGACATGTTTAGGTTCCAGCTTATCTATACCTCTAGGAGCATATGGAACTGGCTCGGATTCTTCAATGGTTTCCTTGACATGCAAAGCACGAGAATGTGATGGCCAATGCCTCAAAATTAACTCTGCAACAGAAAGGCATGCAACCTCATCACCAATAGCAATAAGAACTTCCAATAATTTCTCCATGCAGTTCCCTGCATAAAAAGATCAGAGAAAGACATAATCTGTCACAAATACGGTGCTGAGTCCATCATTGTGGAATAAAGAAAAGTTATTTTGGCATGGACGTATAGAACATATTTAAACACCATAAATTGCTTACAATTACTAGGGCTGCATAAAAGCCCTTGCTCAAATGCCCAACGGGATATACTCAGAGAGCCCATTGAGCATGACAATGTTCCCAGCTGGTTCCAGACAACAGAATCTTTGGTATCAATCTCTACAGCTTGAAGATAACATCGTAGAGCACTCTCATAATATGCCGAACCTTGTTGAAGGTAAACATTAGCAAGGTTCTTCAGTGCCAAGAATCTGCATCAGCAAGAAAAAGATAATGGAGAAGATATTTAAGAACATCTTGTTCATTTTCTTTCCTTTGTATCCTTTCTATTGTCACAAAAATATTAATAAGAGAAAATTTACAAAACTAACATTCTACTGGAGACTGATTCATCCTATGTGAATTAGAAAATTGTAAATCCACTCAGAGCATTGCACAAAATAATAGATATTTTTCATAAAGTTGGCCAAGGCCTACAATATACTATGGGTAGTGGATATATCCAAACCTGAGTTGCAATAGATGGCAATCGCTGACATTACCATCCACCTGCATGGCAATAGACACTTGATTCAGAGGCAACCAACAAGACTGCCATCTTAAAACTGTTTGATGAAAGTCTAACGCTCACCTGAGCGTTTGCTATAAGAGGATCTTGTAGGACAGATTCTAACAGCTCGGTAGCCTTTTTGTATTCTTTAGCTTGTAACTTGTGAAGTCCTTCATGATAAGTTTGTGAAAGATGAAATTCCTGCCATGACCAAGCCAAACAGTATGAACTCTATTCTTGGACAAATATCTAACCAAAAAAGAAAGCATTTCAGCTCAGAAGATCTAAAAGCTTCAGAATTGGACTACAATACAGAAAGAAACCCGTGTTCAATTCACAGTTTATGGTGCATTCAATTGGTCGAAACCGCGAGTTTAGTTCTCTCTCCTTTTCCGTAACTTCTAGTGAAATGTGAACAATACTCTTTTTTTTTTCTTTTTTTTTTTTCTGGTTTGCAAACAATACTCAAATTCACAACACTCACTACAAGCCAAGAAAATCCCAATTCATTGACATAACAAAAATTTGACGCATTCTTGACCTAACTCCAGCAAAAAGTAGCTACATGTAGAAAAAAATTACGAATACAAAAAATATGTGAGAGAGAGAGTGAGAGAGAGGCATGCCTGAGCTTCTTTGGTGGGAGCTAAAGGTTCCCATTTGCCTTTGGATTCAGTATCATTGATAGCTGCAATTGAGAACTGAAGAAGCATAGAAATTCAGAATTAGAAAACCCAAAAAACAAACAACTAAGGAAATTCAATCGAGTAAAAGCAACGTAAATTAGCTCACCATTGTCGACAATTCGAATGCGGCAATGAAGCAGCTTCGCAGAGAATTTGGGCTTTCAGCAAATTCTAATGCTCACTACGACTACTTACTAAGGGGATTTTTAGGGTTTTGAAATCCCTTTAGAAATTGAAAACAAGAAATTGTTTGTAGCTCACTTGCTGTTATTAAGCGAGGGAGATTTCATTAGGAAAACGATAAAAACGCCAAAACACAGTGCGTCGTTTTAGCGGTTTTATCAAGCAAGAAAGACTAAAACGCGGCGTTTAAACGTGCCACCGTTTTATAATCTTATTAGTGCTCCTTTTTTGGTCAAGCGTTTGTTATTTCCTTTTACGAGTTTTTTTGCGCCTTTATTTATTTATTTATTGGATCATTCGTTTTTTGTTGAGATGATAGCTCACTGATAGATTCCCGAGAAAATTTGTAATCGGGAAATGCGAGTTTCTGTAGCTGTTATTGCAACCGCTGATCGATTATTGGTCTGTTTGGTTGCCGAGAAAGACTGAGAAAGGTAATGAAAACTAGCATGCATGCAAAACGACTAATCGTTCGTGTTTTGACGATGTTTGCTGTTAAATGTTCCCAGAATTAGATGTGCATCACTACAAAACTTCACTTAGATTTTGTGATTTCTTTTTCACTGACACATTCAAAAGCAAGTTTGCTTTCAGTGCTCTTACTTGTATTGCATATAGTTTGTGCACTCGATAAAGAAAGGGATAAAATTTCTACCAAATTAAAGATTTTAGTTATAGTGAGTCTTAGGGGGAAGTGCTTCAGCGGCCATACTATTTATTTTTAAAATAAATAAATAAAAAAAGACCAGCCTAATAGCACCTCGATGGCCAATTTTTTTATTTCAAATTTTTTTAAAGAGCATAAATTTTATAATTAAAAAAATCCATAGTAAGAACTAACAGCATGAAAAGCACCATTGCTCAACTTGATCAACCCTGGACAGTTCCTCTTGCAATAACATTGGGTGTTGGAGTTTTAGGACTCATTGTATACAAGGGTATCTTTCTCGAAATTGATGTGATTTCGAAAATCATTAGACTAATAAACCTTTACTTTGCCCCTTCTGCTTGAGAAATACAGTTAATAGAGAGAGCTTACGTTGGAAGCAAAACTTAAGCTTTCTATTTTGAGAGTTTGCAAAGAAGGGTGCCCTAACAATTTTGAAATTTTGTGGCCTACTTCTATTAGTTTATACCTTATAGTTATTAATTTGCTAGTTTCAACATATCCAAAACATATATTGAAAAGAGAGAAATTTCGCACTAAATCAATATAAGAACTCAATTTTTTTATTATTTCTTTTTTTTTCGTGGGAATGTTTGCCTTTGATCTACTTCGTTTTCTTGAGTGCTACTAAATTATGATACTGCACACATTATTTGTCGTAGAGAATTGCATGCTGAGTTGTAATGGTCTTGGTAATTGCTTCACTTTTCAAACAACACTTTACATGAAGAATACTACCACCTCTCTTACTACTATATCCATTAAACTTTGCTTGAAATTGTTGTTCTAGTTGGCAAAGAAACTGCAAAATCAATATCTTGCATTTTTCTTACAACAAGTAAGAAATAATATTTGCCTCTCAAATTGTTTCATAGTTGGTAAAATATGGAACAGGAAAAATGTGAATAAAATACATTCGTGTTTTATTCGGAAAAATTTTGGCAAGTTACGACTGAAAAGTTCGGCCACTATATAATATTTTAAACAAGAAAAATACGTACGTACATGTACAATACAAGTATTAAACGTGAAAATGTTAAATTCTTGATACGGGTAATAACTCTGAAAAAGTGAAAACTCAAAAGGGGACAATAGAGACTCGGGTAATGGCCTACTAGTAATGGATAATGCTATAAACTACTTTTATCTATAAATAAAAATCGAGGAAAAACAATTTTTAAAAAATAAGATCATAGTGTCTATGTAAATCGTATAGCCATTCAGCTATAGTATTTATATATAATTAAAAGGCTTATTATCACAAAACGTCCCTGACGTTTGCGAAATTATCACATTGCATCCCTAACGTTTTTTTGTATCATTAATGGTCCCTAACGTTAATACAGGTACTCTTAAATAGTCCTTCTGTAAAAAAAACCGTTAAATCTAGGGGTATAATCGTCAAATCGATCCAAAATTATAATATTTTTTTTCCTTCCCTTCTCTCTCTCTCTGTTTCTCTTTTTTTTTCTCCTCTCTTTCCTCCTCTTTTCTTCTTCTTTTCCTTCGCTGTTTCTTCTTTTAGATATTTATAAAAATACCCAATCCTAGACATGTATTTATAAAAATACCCAAGCACTATTTAAACATAGAAACATACCCAAAATGGGTTTTGGGTATGTGTGTAATGATGGATTTTGGGTATGTTTATAAATGGGTTTTGAGTGTGTGTAATGATGAGTTTTGGGTATGTTTATAAAGTGTTTTGGGTGTTGGGTATTTTTATAATTTCAGCCCGCATTTTGGGTATTTTAGTGAAACTCCCTTCTTCTTTCTCTCCCTTTTTTTTTTCTTCTTTCCTTCTTTGTTCCTCATTTTTCTTATTTCCTTCTTTCTCTTTTTTCTTCCTCTTTCCTTCTCTCGGGGTGGTGATTTGGGTGGCTAGAGTGCTGGGTTGGTGGGCTGTGGAATGGGGCAGGGAGAGAGTTGCAGAGAAAGTACATAGAGGGGCAGGGGTATAAGATCCCACGGTGGTGGTTATGGAGGTCGAGGTGGTGGTTTGGGTGGCTAGAGTGGATGGGTTGGTGGGCTGTGGGAGGGGGCAGGGAGAGAGTTGCAGACAGAGT